CAGCTACACTTGCGCTTTTCGCTTGAAGGCCCATTAGAGAGGGCTGGAACGAAACTGGTGTTGCCGAATCATTGATGGTGAGATTGCAAAAACCCACGTGCTGCCCTTGTTTGCTCATGTGTTGATAGCTCGGGCAATGTCCCAACAATTTATCAGTAATTTATCGGGCTCACACTGTTCGTACAAATTACTAACAACCCATTTTTTCTCACAGACTTTATTGCCATCCTATCAACCGACGTGTTCGTAAGAGGCTATGTTGACAATGCACATTGCATCACTTTTCCGAAGATGATAGTCTGAACACCCTATAACAGCGAAGTCATTCAGCATTATATAGGCTGTTCCTTCATTCGCATTCTTTAAAGGGCACAGTTTACGATAGTTTCGGTATCTTATTCAAGACGAATAATCGAAGTGATGGTCCAGAGTATTTAGTGAAAAAAAAGTGGCGAACAAAACGCGAAAGCTGACGTATATAGAGAAATACAAAGGGAAAAAACAAGTACTATTAGTGTTAGGACGAGATATGAATGAGCGCAGTTGGCTACAGTAAGCTGCCTGCGCATAACCCGTGGGTCCTGGTGCGAGTGGTGCAACCTCTAGAGCCTCTATAACGTTGTGAAAAATAGTCCGCCTTTGAGTGTATATGTCGGCTGAGCCGATTTCGGGGCCTTACTGCGTCCCATCTATTCCGTTCTTTGATTCAACAGCATCCCTTCTGATATCCTTGGGTGCTACAGGTTCACTCCATCGGAAACTTTGAAAGACATTTCTATCATGATGCTTTTAAGGTTAGATCTCGTAATTTCCTTTGATTTATATCCAGTCGCTCTACCTCCACAGAGTCGGACTTCCCCCTTTCTTTTCTACTCTCTCACAAGTGTATTCGCCTCCGCTTCAACGGTTTGCCTATAAGAGAAGTACCTATGAGGGAACGCTCCTCGAGCGTGATCCTCTCACATATGGACATGAAAAAAGGCATAAATTTGGACTCTGAACTTCTCCGTAAATTGTCTTCAAGGTTCATTGAAACGGGTTCAGTACTCACCTCAAAGAAGCCTGAATATACGAGAATGTGGATAATTTTTCCCTTTTTTTCCCCTACATAATTCATTTCAAGGTAACACTGCTTGAAAGGTGATTATGTAATTGAACTCAGCTCTTCGAGCCCCACAATGTAATACCACTTATTTTTCGAAGAGCTATATTTGGAAATAGATCGACTTNGAATAGGTACTCCGTCTAGGTTCGGATAATCCTGACCGAAGGACTACAGTTAGAGCTGTGCAAGGATTCTGTGGTCGACTTGATTACAAGTTTGCGTTTCCTCTATTCTATGGACCCTGACTTCAGTACGCGGCACACAACGGTGAATCGATCACCTTATGTTTCCTTACCAAACCGCATTACACGGATGCAATGATATTGTTCGATTCCATGGAACAAATGCTATTCAGCTTTGCAGAGATCACTCTTAGACGAAAGAACTGTTTTGTTCCCCTTCCCAGTTTTTTCCTGAGGTGGCCGTTTTGGCAAGCGCTGTACAGCAGCGTGCAATTCACATGACCAGCGCACAGCAGAGAACAAAGGGCGAATAAGATAGGAATTTGATGGACTGCCAGGTCCATCGGATATAGTTCTGATCCTATTTTCGGGACCGTCCGCCGCCGCCAGGTGACCGGTGACCTATTTCTCCTGTAAGCACAAAACTCTTGTGCCGATCGCGTCAATGGCATGCTGCAAGCCAGAACTTGGGAGGTAAACCAAAGGAAGACTTGACGCTGGAAATAGAATTAGAATGTAATACTCATCGAGTGATGGTCTATGCATCGTTGCCATGGGCGAAAGTGATGTAGTGGCAAATGGCGCGCTATCACACTCGCATGATCACGGGTTCGAATACTGTATCACCATCCGCCCAAGCCAACCAGGTCTTCCATTCTTTCGCGGTCCGTCGATTGCCATCAGGATCGTCTGGGAGGGCAGTGACTTGTACGTACTATCTTTAATGGGAATCGAACGCATTCCTCGGATGGGACTGATCAACGTCCTGAGACTAATGTCCTTTTTTTCTTCAACTTGTGGTCATTGTTGCTAGTAGACTGTTTTCATCACCTTCCGACGTATCCAGTATAAAAGGTGTGGATCTCTCATCGAATGCTCATAATGATTCGCTAGTCGAGATCAGGGAATAGAAAGTGGAAAACTTTCTTTTCTGTCAAGCCACTTTTGGCCATCAAAGAAAAGTCCTAAAGACCCCACAGCTCTGGATCGACTTGACATTGGATATCAAACAAAGGATGATGTAAGTAACCAGCGTAGATAGAAAGATGTAGAAATGTAGTAGGTGAACATATTAGCTCGATTGAAGTGCCTTAATCCCTTGAACTAGTTGCTATGACATCTTCATAACGTCTACTTCGCCTCAACTCTAATCCAGAGCCATATGATCGTAAGAACTATAGGAAAAATCCATCCGCTGAAAATCCACGCCCTCTTAGAGAATGCGGCTTTATTGGGTTTCATTTTGGGGTGCACCTATTTATCGAGGCGTCGAAAAACGTCATGGATGAGGCACAATAAGGGGCCAAAGATTGTATCGTGTGAATGCCACACCCATCGTGGACGAGTTTCAACTCTATGTAGAGGCTGCACTATCTCAAGAGACTCCCATGTAGGAAGTTCAAACAACTTGTCATAACCCATGGCAACAGAGAAAGGCAGTTTCGGACATTTTCGGCTTGATGTAGTCATCTCTTTGAGAACCTCGTCCAAACACCCCCTACATGCCATTACCGTCACGGTGATCTCGTACAACTTCCACTTCCACTACTTTTGAAAAGCCTTGGAAGGAAGGAGAGTAGGATTTTCTCGCTTTCTCCGCCCCCGATGTGCTCCTCTAGATCAACACTTCCGCTTTTCAACTTAAAAAGGGTACTTCGAAATTATCGTGAAGTGTGCCTTTAGCAATGCCTGTCAGGGCCAGCCGTGTCAACCAGCTCGACCACATATGATTGAGGACATTAGAAAATCATAAAAAATTAAGCTCCCAAAGAGATCTGAGTAGGTTTCCTCATCTAAAAGTTTGACAAGTCGAACTTGGGGAAGTTTGAGATTTGGGAACTCGCTGATCCTCAAGCAAGACAGTGCAGCTCACAGCACATAGCCTTCCTTTTTTTCTAAAGGCGGCACGAGTATATCATAACGTGAAAGCCAACTACATATACACGTGCATCTTTATTTAACATTTTAACAGTCTTATCAATCGCTTGATCGCTCATTTCACACGGGAGAATGTTCGGCAAGTTTTCAGTTTGAAGATGCGCATGGGAAGAAATATCAGCGATCGGCTTCTGCTTATTTTCTCGCTCAGCCGTTCTTCGAGTGATAAGCTATCAGTCGCCGGACACCCTGAGCAATCGATCATCTCATTATTCCCTGGTTACTTTGCCTGTTAGCGACCTATTGTAGTACCAGAACGTTTTCCGAAGCTTTGTAGCTTTTCTTGTCGACTTATTGGTAGGGTAAGGATACCGACTCGGACCACCTGTCTTGGGCGCACTTTCCGGCTATAAAGTCATGGACCAAGTTCCATCTAGGTTTAGCGAATCTCTTGTCGTGATAAGATGGCGTTAATTCACTGGGAGGAGAAGAACCCGATCGCCCACATCGTTCATTCCTTGCTCAACACCTTATGGGGCTTATATGCATTCAAAAATCACACCTTGGAAGCGAAGTCGAGAGTGTGGCTCATCAAAGTTATTCGAAGGAGATTATTCAACCCTGTCTTGTATGAGCTCCCATGGTCCCGATAACCTGTTCGCCCGAAACTTTATTGTGAAATAGTTGAGATCTGCGTAGGAGTGAATGTGAGGAAGGAAGGGAACCTCAATTCGCTGGGTAAGCAAGCAGCTTAACAAGCAGCTACCAGATAGAAGAACTGGTCACCTTCATTCTGTGGGCAACTTCCATTAATCTTGCAGTACTGTTCGATCCTTTTGTATTTTGGCTGTAGTATTGTCCTATGCTAACGCCCGCGTGAAGCGAACCGATGGATTTCATCACTATATTTCTGAAATTTGAACCTAATGACTATTATCAATTCATCATATGCTAATAGTTCAAAACGTAGAATCGTCATTGCTTTCATCATCCTTTTATTGCCTGCTGATCATACGTTGTCATCTATATTCCGTGAAGTTCCACCCAATAAACTCTTGATTTCACTGAATCCCATATTTCCGCTATTTGCCCATCTACAGTAACTATTTGACCTTTCTACCTCAGTGTATAAAGCTCGAACCTTGTGCTTTCATATGTTTATAAAGGCACAGTCCATAATATGAACTTTTGGCCCCCTCGTATACCATATCTGACGCTATCAGGTCGGAAAATGGCTTTGTTAGGGCGTTATAAAGGCTCAAAGATTGTACCGTAGTATCCTCGGACGAGTTTTACCAGCATTGTAGAGGCTGCCACAGACCACAAAGAAATCCGTGTAGGAAGTTGATCCATAGCGACAGTAAAAGGCAAGTCCGTACAGTTCCGGCTTGATGCAGCTCTAGCTCTTTACGTACTTGCAAAGAATGAAATCTCGTCCGAATCCCCTCCATCGAGGAGCCTTTTTTCGGAATTGTCTAATTTTCTCGCTTTCTATACTACTGATGAGCTATTCGCAACCTATACTTCCGCTTCTTGAACAAAAAAGGTACCTCGAAATTATCGTAAACTCTGCCTTTAGCGTAGCTGTGTTTGCTCGTGCTTGCCATTTGAGGTTATGTTGCCTTGTTGTTGTCGTTGTGTTGTTGTTGTTGTTTATAGCTACCAGCTTAAGCTATTTGAACGCAACGTTTCCAGGTTAGCTGTTTCGCGAAAACTGAAGTAATCTTTCAAAAAACTCGGATCCCCCAATGTCGATCAACAATCGATTGGTCCTGAGCTGATTCGCCGGTCCATTCAATTGCTGTTTTCAAAGGGTGGACGGCGCTTACTTGACAATGGTGGAGGAGATCTGTCACATTTGTGATGATCGTGCCACTGGGAAACACTATGGTGCCATCAGTTGCGATGGATGTAAAGGTGAAGGTTTTCGGCCAGTGATAGTTGTCCGACCTTGTCGCTAAACGAAACGTGTGCTTGCTATAGGATTCTTCCGTCGAAGTATACGAAAACGACATAACTATGTGTGCCGATTTAACAAATGCTGTGATGTCACGAAAAGTAAGTGTAACTGGTATTTGTCTACGATAAGTGGCTAGGAACGGACAAAAAAGAGGGGATAGCGATACAACATCGAAACAACTTTTTTTCTAAATTTTCTTCCCGAGTTCCTCAAGATCTCTCAAGTTTGTCGGTCCGATAACATGGGCAGCCGGAACATTTGACATTCCTAACTCTTCTTCTGGCATTCCCTAGAACTGTTCTGTTCAGACCAACGTAATGCATGCCGATCGTGCCGTCTGCAGAAATGCATTGAGGTTGGAATGAAATCGAACGGTAAGTTTTCTATTAAATCCTTTCCAGCCTCTCTTTACAATTTTCCAAATACGTCACAAGAATTAAAGTTTGCCTATGAGTGGGATTTATATCTAGCAGGGCTCGTGCATATTCCTAAACAGAACGGCTTCATCGTATATCCTCTTTGGCGTAGCTGTCCCGTATGAAAATATTCGGCTGACGCCCCTGAGGAAAACAGACTCGAGTTCAGGCAAAGTATTCCCCGATAGTGATCGAATTCCAGTCGCTGAAGAATGGAAGAGTGGACAACCTATCAGCCATAAGACACCAGATGACTGAAGTGTGAACAAAAATTTTTGTTAAACTGACTACAAATAAATGTAGGACATTTTTTTCTCAAAGTGCTTCTGAGGTCTGGTTTTTAGCGATAAGTATATGACTATTGGGATTTAAAAAGAGCGATCTTATCAGTTCGTTTTGAAGACCTGTCCTGATTTTGAGCTTTTAAGAAAGCCTGATTTTTTGCTGGTTCATAGAGCGAGTCTCGTCTGATGGTCTTTGGGTTCACCACTCCTATTCATCAAGATCTTTTCAGCGATCCAGAACGAACGTGACACGATTGGCAAAAGACGGAAACCGGAAGCGGAAACCGAGGAGTTACTCGACGGATTGTTGAAATCGGAGAAACTGTGTCAGCAGTTGCGGAGTTCAGTGATCAAGAGCACCGAGCAGGTTATACCTGCACTGTTCTAATCTCTTCTTTGAAACAATACCATCTAAGCGGGGTGGGAAGGGGGGCACTAGGAGGCGTCTCTGTTTCACTCATATTTCCTGAGAGTGGGGACTGAAAATCAAGTCAACAAAGTCTAGGTGTCTTACGACTGTGGTAAAGTAAAAACCTGGCGGATTGAAGACGATCGTCGAGCAACACTGGACGACGTTGGCAAGAGCATCCATCAGCAACTTGTGCTACTGGTCGAATGGGCGAAATCCCTCCCGCAGTTTACCCACCTCTCCATGGACGATCAGGTACTAACAACTTCGATCATTGCACTCATATTTGTGACTTATACTTTCGTGGAGCCGAATTACATTCAAAGACGGGTACAGCAGCTGCGTCTTCAGTAATTGGGCCCACTTCACCAGTAGTCAGGTTTAAACGTCCTGTGAACGTGTGATACAGTACCTCGAAAACGCCAGCACACACGTCAAGTACCACCCCTAGGATACTTTTTGTTGCTTCGTACACGTGGTCGGTGCTTGGAGACGTTTGAGTGTGGGTTCGGTTACTATGTAACTCGTTCAAGGGACTTTGAAATCCGTCTTGATCGTTTACCGCTTTGCGAAGGATGCTCCATCTAGTGTTATCAATCTTAAGGCAGCACTGCTGAAAGCGACCGCAGCACAGATCATCATTCTTGGTGTAGCGTATAGATCGCTGTCACTGGAAAACTCAATTTGTCTCGCCAACGATACGCTTATTCCTAAGGAACATGCTGCGAATATCGGTGACATCAAGTTAGTTCTTACCTTTTATACGTTATGGGAACGACTGCCCCCTGTGGGTGGAGTTCACCTGCTCAATTGATTGGTTGTTTTCTATCATGTTTTCGGATATCAGTGGGGAAAATCCAAAGGAGACAAGTCAGACGTTCTTCAGTTGTGTGGTCGGACGAATTATTGATGAGCTAGTATTGCCAATGCGTCGCTTGGGAGTGGATTTGTGCGAGTACGTGGCTCTCAAGGCTATCCTTTTCTTCAATCCAGGTAGGAGTCAGCCCGTTTGTGACTGCATGAAGGGCGTGGCTGGAGACTCGTCAGTTCGCCAGCTCGCGACGGCAAAAAAAAANAAAAAAAAATGAAATTCTGTAGAAATAATTGCCGTCGCGACAGCGTGCTATGGGGAGTTTTCTGCGCGTCCATCCCAATTTGAAGTGTGAGTGCACGCATTCATTATGTGAAGTGCTTGTTTAGTGGCAAGGGATGTGAGCGACTCGGCCACGGTAGAAAATGCCCGTATTGCATGCCTACGTGCCATCGAGAGGAGGTGAGTTTTGCATTGTATCGTTCCTCGGTCTGCAGTATTTCAAACACGAGTCGAAAGCAGATCTCTTTTTAATATGTGAGAATTACAGAGGATCGACTGATTTCTTTTCGTCAATTTAGGTGTCAACGTGCGCCAGTGATTTCCACTTCTGAATGCCGGACAGGACGATTGTTGTTGCTGCTTCCATCTCTTCAGGCGGTAGCGCAACAAATGGTAGGCTACTTTGACTTGTCCGCCGCGGTCAGGCACACTGATTAAAAAGGTCGTCCGGGCTTACTAGTATTTTTGATATCAATATCGCTTCAGTGACATCGAGTTTTAGCTTGATAATGTAGTAGCCTGATTTCGGACCATGTCCCTCGCAAAAAATTGTCCTTCAGAAAATTGTCTTCAGTCTTGAAGCGTCCATGATTCCACGTCATCTTCTGATTAGAACAAAACAACGATCGTACTTAATGAATCGCCCTGAAATCGGGACTTTTCCATGATTTTGAATATCATTTGGAACCGACTTTGAAAAAAAAATTGAAAAATTGGATTTTCTCTTCCCGAGCAAATTCTTCCGGCGTGTATTGTGTCTAGAGATTAATTATGCTTGTAAAACAAAAATGCAAGCAAATTCTAACCACAAATCACTTGAGTTATAAGTAGGATATTTGGCATCTATAAAGGTAATAAGTATTTACTTCAGATCCTAATAAAGAGGTCTTCGTTCGGACTCGTTGGATCTTTCTTGCTCGAGACAGTAATCCTTCAACTGATCGCTTTCTGTCCACTTCCCCTACGCCATTTCCTTGTTGCGTCTTTGTTGCAAAATGCCAAGCGCAAATAGAACAGCTATACTCATCCACTCATCCCTTTAAATTAGCTACAAAGTAAAGCCCTTATTTCCTGAGCTCTTTATCTAATCTTTCGTTTTTCTGTCTTCTGTCGATACCAAGTACCTGTTCCTTCACTCTTCAACCTCTCTATCCCAGTTCTGCCATGCTGAATATGTTCTCCACGCTCATGGAGGTCCCTCGAGTGTGAGCAGAGCTTTGAACAGGCAAAACGTAGTTTTTAGCCCAACTTTTGATGTTGTAACCTTGTTTCACGCATCATTCCGAATAGGAATTTCAACAAGGGGTATATACTATATCATCCTCCTTTTTCGTTTATTTGAACACAGTGTGCGCGCACACCATCATTTCATTCAACAGATGAATTTCCCCATCATTCCAATTGATGAATTTTTCCATTGGACGCATAGTCGAATTCATAGAAACCTCACTTATACCGGTTGTTGATTTATGGACAAAACGTTTAGCATTGAAAAATCCTGAGAGCGTGCTTACGTGGCTGCTATCTCTGTTAACGAGTGCACCCGACAGAAGCCGCGGTATGGATCTGACAAAGCTGCTAATTCATGAAAATTCATCGTCAGGCGCGAAATTAGGTTGAGTATAGGAGTGAATATAGGAATCGTGGAACGAGTGAGTTGTGAATAGCAATACACTTTGAGTGGGAAGTAGGTGACCCTCAGTCGAGATGACGCCCATCTCTTCGAGCTTCTCCTTCGCCTCTGGACGGCCTTCATATGTGTAAGATGAGCCATCGTGAACTCATTTCTGATGCCAAGCGCATTAGCCTGTTGAACCATTTAGCTGTAAGCTTTTTGACATTACTGGGTTCAACTTTTTTTTTTGCTATTTTCTGTTTTTCGCCTTAGTTCGCGAAAGCCACCCTTTCGAATTTTCCAGGTTTGTGCAGTAAGCGTTGACCTGTTGGATTCAAATATCAATACTCAAATAGGACAAGTGGTCCAGGGTTTCAGCATTATTCATGAGCCCCACTCAGACTATACCTCAAAATACGCGTTTTTTAGTTACAGTTCAACTTTATGCCATAATAGACGAAGAAACCCAAACCAATATTTCCACGGAACATAGCACCCTCCAAATCGTTACTGATAGCGGACCTGCTCCAGTGCTTGCAATCCGAGGTGAAGTGGCCTTGCTGCAAATGATATGAGTGGTATTTGGTCCTTCTCTTCGACCATTCACGCTCTTTCGCCATTCTTCAAGTGAAACGCCGTAAACTGCGACCAATACTAGAATAGTCTTCTTGACCATTCTGATCGTGTAAGCGCTGATACTTCTTCCAAAAGTAGATCTTTCCATAGTTGTTCCCTTAGATCGTTAGCCAAGCTTTGGCTCAGTTGCAGTGGGAGCAGCACGAAATCACCATGTAGTCACTCCCTCCAAATTGGTCTGAGTAAGCTCAACTGATTATTTGATAGTAAACCATTTGTCTCTAAAAGCTAATGGAGTAGTATGCTGGAAAAGCTTGTTAATGCTTTGAAATGGCCCGCTGGCACAAATTTTCAAGGAATGGGCTACTTCTAGCAAAACGGTTTCTCATTCCTAGAAATGAAACGAGGGAGTGATTTTGCATATTGCTATTTAGGTCGAGGACGTGCAGTTGGCTCGGCTTTTTGGGCTAGCGAATGTCGATTCCCTCATGGAAGAGCTGATCTTGCACGATGAACGACCAGATCGAGACGTCCGGCAAAGTCTTGCAAGTCCATGTCAGGTGACCGAAGTGATGATGTAATTATAGAAACCTTGGTGTAGTCGGAGTTGTGGGAATGGGGCCAACATAACATGCGAATGGGTAGTGACCATAGGGACAACAGCAGAGTTCTTTTGGGATTGATCCCGTTCCTGATTTCATTCATTCAAACTCCGTCTGCGTGTATTTGGGACCGACTTATCCATCGCCCATCTAAGTTAGTATTCGGGTGTAGCTGTTATTCTTCTTTCCTTCTTGCTCCGCCTATGCTGCCAATATTGCCCAGATTATTTGATAGTGTACCATTTGTCTCTACAACACAGTGATATTCAACTGTTCGTTTGTCAGAGGCCATTTCTAAGAGACGGGATTTGATTCATCGCTGAAATATTATATTGTGTGACCACAGATCGCGTATTCCAGTCGGTTTTCACCAGAACCAATTGCCTCATTTTTTTCGACACTTGACATACTCATCGTTATAGTTGTGATTGGTTGTTAATCCTGTAATTAGCATTCATTACCTCATTAGTAAACTTCGTATTTCGTGTCTTTTTTAACTGTGATTTATCATTTTTAATAGTTAATCTTGTCATGAACATTTTTACTGCAAAGGCGAGACGGCATCTCACATCAGATAGCAAAGGCAAGAAAATCACCAGTGTTGTTCGTAAACAGTGATGAGTTTCCATCATAGAATCGGAATGCGTCGATGTTGTTGCGATTACGTCGCTCCATGTGACGGGAGGGTGAAAGGATGTTAAGTACGACGATGATGAACAATTAATTTTCCGCTGGAAATGGATAAAGGTAGCATGTACCGGGAGTGCCGTTGCCACACCGGGATCGGACTTGGTACGATACGTGCTCAGGCCAGCCAAGGCTTCTCGAGCTTAGCATATCGGTACTAGACATGATTTGCCTGGAAGGAGGAGGGTTCTGGTTTGTACATCAGCCAGTTCCCTGGATTGTTGATTGGCGAAATGCGCGTGAAGAAGCACTACCATTTAAGTTGAGAGTGTACGAGGCAGTGTTCTAAAATGGGACTGATCAACACCCCAGTCTTTAAGATGTATCCCTTTAGAATGGACTGCTTTCATACCTTAACTCAGTTTCGCTTACCTCACTTAAAAGCCATTGGCTGCTTTCATAGTCCGCCGGCCGGCGTGCCGGCGTGCGTGCCGGCGGAGGCAGTGCTAGGGGGGAAGAGGGAGGCAGACAGTGCAAGGCAAACAGTCCACGCCCCTTCGAAGGTTGTTTGTTTTCAACCCCTCGAAGGGGCGTGGACTGTTTGCCTATCTGTCTGCCTCCCTCCTCCCCGCTAGCACTGCCTACGCCGGCACGCCGGCCGGCAGGCTGGCGGACTTTGAAGGCAGCCATTTGCATGGTAGTGTGAGACTCCTACTTTGACTCTTCCTTCGAATACGATCTCTTCCATCCAGAATGAGCAAATGCTATTTCCGACAAAATACTCCTCATTCTCCTTGACAGGAACATGTCAGATGATGGGAAGCTGACGTCACTGTCCCATTTTAGGGTGGTTTTTTCTGTCTATTCAAGGGTTTCAGACGTCCGGTATCCGATGATTCTTGTCAAATTTCTCCGAAATAGCTTTAAAAATTGGCATAAACATTAGATTTTGAACATAAATTGAATCTGTTGTCACATCAAAAAAACAACCGGACAAGAAGGAGGTTAAAGGGAAATCGTAATCGTTTTCCTATATCGCCTCATTTTTTCGATTACTTGAATATTTGTGGAATGCGGACTTTTCAAAGGCAAGTCAAAATTAGTCTGGGTTTCAGTGAATGTGATAAAAAAACTTTACTTTCGAAGGAACCGTAGCAATGACACGCGAGGAACAGTGTAAACGATGCAGTAAGGGTTTTAAAATAGCCAGTCTTGATAGAGCTCTTATCAAATCTCTCACCCGGGAGGGGTTCCAAATTACCGGGCAAATTTTATTGAAGACTTAGGTATATTTAAGCACCTTCGGATGCTGTCTACGAATATAGAAGTTCAGGCTGCTAAATGATTTTCCCAAATAAATTGCGAGCCCTCAAAACTTCCTTGAGGAGGCTCAGTTGAAATGTGCAGTTGCACACACGACACCAAGAGCCTCAGCGGATGCAGTGCTCTTCTTCATTAAGCGAAAGATGCGGGCTTACTCACCGCAGCGGCAAGGTTTTTGCGCAGAGTGCTTTCTTCTAAAAAAGGCTTTCATAACATTTTCTCACACTCATGAGAGTGAGCGCCTTATTCAGGCTATCGTTTACGTAGTTCGCACTTACATTTGTCAGAATGTTCCATGTCCTTTATTTCTGATGAAGTAGGTACTACTCCGCTGAGGAAGTGTTCGAGGAGATCGGGCACGTAAAACAGAGTTGGTTCATTCGTAACCGTCTTCACAATCCCACATGCGCAACATCTGACTGTATAATCTGCTTACTGGTAGGGAACGAGATCGCATTGCCGCCAGTGTTGTCTACAGAATCATTTTTCAGAACCATGGAGATTGGAATGTAGGCCAGACGGCTTCACTCTACGCACGTGTTGAAAGAGAACTTTCAAAGGCTCAGTTCACGATAATTTTGGGTAATCCAGATTATGATGAAAAATGGAAGACACGATCGAAACAAGTGCGACTGAGGTGAAGAATCTGTGTGCATCGGTGTTTCCAAAGTGAAAAAAGGCTTTCAAAGACCATGAGTAAGGGGGCTGGACGAGAGTGAAATAAGAAAAATGAAGAAGAGTGGGGCGTCCGGACGAGCTAAACAGTGTGTTTCACTGGGCGCGTGTGGGTCCTGGTGCGAATAACAGACAATGGTAAGCAAAAATTCATTCACCTATAAGCATAAATAAACAAAAAAACCTAGTAACAGCAAAAGTAGCTCCTCACCTTTTTCATCCTCCAGGAGTAGGAAATTATATAAGGGATCGCGGCAGCAAAAAGAAAAACAAAGGCAAAAAGAATGGGAGAAAAACATCGCCTCATCACTCGGTGATTAGCTGATTGTGCGTGGGTCCTAGAACGAATAATAGCAATCTGTGTTGTCTCGACACTCGTCTAACGTGACACCGATCGAGGGGCGGAAAGCGAACTACGGCAGCAACGGGGCTTCCACTATGCCCTAAGCGCCGAGATTGTGGGAGCGAGAGGGTCCTTTCTACCACCCATGGGGGGCGCTGAGTATTCCTAAAGGAAGAACTCAGTAACCTTTTTTATCGTGAACCGTGCCTTTAAACAGGAAGACTAAGTCGCGAGGGAGTCGTCAAATCGATGACAGCCGTCTTTTTGACTAGTAATATGCTTCCTTAAAACACAACCAACTGGAAATTACCTGTGTAAGAAACCAAATTACATGATAAGAACGAACACTTGTGTATGGGTGAACAAATAGGGAGATCTTCATTTGTGTTTAATGACATGAGGTCAATGAAATAGGAAGGTAAAATCATTAAAGTGAGGTTCAAAAAAGGATCTCATTGCTTGTCCCCTTGTCAGCGAAGATACACTGGTCCACAAAAAGAACAATCGATCCGGTATCTCTGTTCAGATGTAAAATTTTACCATGCACATGTGATACCTTCCTTTGTGTCATGACAGCCTGAACAAGAGTTCTCTTTTAAGAATGTACACAGCACATAACACTCAGCTTGACTAATCGGTTCCAAAATTTGGGGCCAGTTACTTGCGCGTTTCGAATCGACTCATCTTGTTCTCGTATCAGAACGAGATAAACAAGCTCAAAAGAGATCACTAACACAAGCAGTAGGTAATGTCCCACTCAAGCCACACCGCCATCGCAAATGCAATTCAACTCAAAAGAGGACATACAAACAATAAACGCACGCCATTGAGAAAGAATTGCAATCCAACGGTAAACGATCTTGGCATTTCCTAGTAAATCACACACCTCGGCGAAGCGGAAAATGTTGTTGAGCCTCCTTATAAAACGAGACTTGCTAGTCTCCGTGAAAAGTCGTAGAACGTTGCTCACTGACATCAGCTCAGATCCTCCTCGCACTGAAGTCTGAAAAGAAAAATTCATACAACTGTAACACCCTAAGTTATCAAGAACTTTATAACTAGTTATGAAGAACTTCATCGCTCCGTACTGTTGGCTATCAGGAAGGGGAAAACGAAAGTTGCATTGAAATGTACCCAACCCGGTTGATTGCGACGCGTATAGGTTGGGAAAATGGATAGCGGAAAGCTGCCACACATTATTTGAAGGCCAAGTTCGAACATGCACCTAGCTCTCATTTCACGTGTTTAACCGTAACTACGCAATGTATCTTTTGCATTATCCGTTAATCTTTCACTAAATTTTATCTGTTAAGAATCATAGCGACTAAATGTACCTTCTTTTGCCCTTTTTTCTACGTTGCTGCTTAGTGTTGGTGACTGAATTCCATAAATTTATTGATCTAATCAAAGAGAAATAAATTTCCGAAAATTCTCACCCATAAGTGGGCTGCGATTAGTAAAGTCAAGTCTGCCCGCTGCTCATTTCTACGTGAATATACGACTGGCATCGGTATACGATATGAGTATACCGTCGGACATAATGATTTTCTTTCTGAAAAAAAAAGATCAGGGAAACTACAATCGTTTATGTTAGGAGCCAGAGAAGTTTCCAGGCGACTCACCGCCGAAGCATCTTAGACACCAACTCCTTGATCCTCTTTCGACAATATTCTCTTCACCACACTCGACACAGACTTCAGTAAACACCACAGCATGACGAAGATATTCATCATTTTTCAATTCGCTCAACTCCGCTTCCACAAAACTGAAACCATAATCATACATTTGTTGGGAATGGATTCTGGTAGCCAAATTGAACAGTAGCTTCGAAATTCCACTAGATCACTAAGAGTTGGAAAAGGAAGGAGATTTTTAGGTTTCGGCATGTATAAATCAGTCTACAGTCAACAACACAAAATACGTTAGGAGCTTTGGTACTTTCTCTATAAGCCAAGTTAAACGAGCGCAGCAACGTACTAATCCTCTCAAAATACGGTACAAGAGCGTTGAAACATCCATAGTCAAATTTTTGTGAGAAGCACACGACAAATCTGATTGTATGTACTCCTTGATCGAATTCCATCCAGGATCACGGATCAGAGCAAGATGTGATAACGCGATTGTAACGCCCCCTTAACATCATAACGCCACTTTCAACTCATCAACAGTCGATCCCCTGTTTAAAAAGCAGTGCTTACAACATTATGTATGAAGATGGGAAAGGGGAGACTTTGGCCAAATGCGTGCGGGCACCATCTGCGATATTTCATGATGGAAAATGTTCCAATCCAGTGTAATTAGGCACCTAACACTGAAAGGCGATTGTTGTGATCGCTCAGAGATGTATAAAACGTAGTTAGTTAGAAATGCGCGCGCCTACTGTTAACGTTCGCAATGTATGTGTGGTAGTAAAGTAATGTTCGCTAACATGGAGAAAGCGCCCTTAGAAGGTTCACAAGTTTTTGACTCAGCGCATAGTATACGGTGTGGGCCAAAACTATGAAGACACAGATATCACATATCCGCAAACGAGTAGAAAGCTAATAAAATAAACCAGTTCAAAGACACAGTTCTCGATGAAAATGATGACTAAGTTCTCCCTCAGAAATACTCAGTGGCCCCAAGGGCAACAGGAAGGACGTATCGGGTCCAAAAACTCAACAGCCAGGGCATAGTGGGAGCCCCGTTATCGTGTCGCCCGAATGCCCCGCCCTTCGACTGATGTCACGTCAGACGAGTGTTAAGGCAATACAGATTGCAATATTCATTACAGGACCCACACACAAGTATTGAGGCAAAGTTGGAAGCAGAAAGCGGTTAGAAGCGCTCTTGCAGTTAAAAAGCGGAAGTGTTGATGTATGGTCGGTCGGCGCGTAGAAGGCGAGGAAATCGGCGTACTTCACGAAAAATAAGGCCTTCCAAAAATAGTGGAAGTAGGGGTTGTATGAGATTGAGATTGCAGTTATTCTGATTGCGTAAACCGCTGACTACATCAAGCCCAAAGTATCAAAAACTGCTTTTCACTGCTGTCATGGATCACTAATTGTTTAAATTTCCAACATGGAATAGAGCAAAGTCCCTTGGAATAGAGCAGCATCTACAGCGCCGTTGAAAATTCCGCTGTGGGTCTAACATTTAGGCGATACAAACTCTGAGCCTTACAACTCTATCTAGGCCGCTTACCGAACTACAGCACGATCTATGGGTATTCTAGAACGCCACAGATTCATCGGAGGGATATTTCTCAAAAACCATTTTTAATCTGAACTGTGCTTTCACCGCTCCTCCTAAATGTAACCACAGGCCTGTTATGTTCTCCCTACCTATCTGTTACCAACTCTCGGAAGTGTCTTATGGTTGAAAATACCAGCTATTGCGCTACATAGTCTCTAGAGATATAGCGTGCCAAAAGCACTTGTAAAACAAAGGGTGTAAGCGTCTGCACGCTCTGTCATATTGGTAGCTCGTCCACCCTATATCATCATTAAAGCGATTTATCAACTGCCAACAAAGAACAATGCTAAACAAGATACCCCAATTCGAGCGTTGTTCCAGGGGCTCGCTTGGGTTTTCGGTTAAACGACCACCAACGCTTTTAGTGACTTCGTTCAAAGACTGACAAATACATACTTCAAAAATCTGACACTTCTTCCGACGTCCATTTGGAGGATAGCTTCCATTTCGTCAGTCAAGCTGTACTGCAGCGTTTTGGGTTCGCTGAGTTCTCTCAATAAGATATCCATCTCGTACTGTCGAAATACTGCTTTTTCCTGAACAGTTGTTAGACGCATAGACACGGGTGCTGGTAACTTTCATAAAATGAGGACTTCTTGAAGAAACTGCTCGAGAATGTCTTCCGGAATGCAGTTGTCCTTATCCTCTTCGGCACAGAGAGATCCATTTATTGCCACAACTGCTGCAGGCTGAGGTTCTTCTGTGACTGCGGAGGACATATCCTAAATAACTAACTTGTCCTTAACTCTTTCTACAATCAGTCTACGGTAGGAATAATTGCCGACTATACCTAATCACAAACTTTGTTTGACTTTACAACTACGTAGCAACTTGTCCGAATTCTTATGCACCATTTTAATAGTCCTGTTCGTAGTCGCAAACGATTTGCATTACTAATTCTGTACTGTTATATAGAAACGCAAAGCTAATATGGATTACCGCTACATACTCGTCATTGTGCTTCTCGAATTAATGTCAAGCCTCTCGGCGGTGAGTGGTGTACAAAACATCAGCCGTGTTCGAGAAGGCAGCTAGACCTTATTATTATTATCGGTTCGCTGGCCCATTGGCTCTCTGAATTCCTTTGTAGAAATATGAGTTCTGAGATAGATTCGATCGGTGTCGCAGATCAACAACGAGGAAAAAGCCAGGCCGCAGTTTCCAACCGGCCATAACCTCAGGAGAAACGTAAGTAGTACATCGTACAGCAGTGGCAAGAAATTTTAAGCCAATTGGGAAAGACATGAAAATGGAGCTAAGGTGCGGTATGAAGTGACGAGGGATTGTACCCAATATCACTTGTTGTAATTTACTCCTATGCTGAAATGAGCCTTTCCTCGATTATGGTACAGTGAAAAACGGTTATGTCATGTTCATTCAAAGTGGGTTGCTTTGGCTAAATAAACTCTGCCAACAGCTGAACATCAACGCAAAAACAAGACCATTTGCTCGGTAGAGTCATTATGAAAATATCCAGAAAGGCATAGTTCTCGATAATTTTACAAAAGTGGCGAAGGAAAAGCATCTTTCATAGTCCACGACCGGTCGCTCGACTAGTCGCTTGACTGATCGCGCCACTGGTCGCTCGATCGGTCGAGGAGGCCGCGCTAGTTATGGGTGCCGCCGTGGACGGTCCCGCGCGATCAGTCGAGCGACCAGTCGCTAGCGACCGGCGACCAATCGCGCGACTGGTCGCGCGACCGGTCGTGGACTATGAAAGATGCCAAACGCGGAAAACGGCGTATTCAGAGAAATATAAGGCTTCGTAAAAGTAAAATTAGGAGTTGGAGTTGGAGAATGCGTTGAGAAAAGTTGCATGGAGCGCGCCACCGCATACAGCTGACTGCAGTAAGGTGCCCGCATGCACGGTATGGGTCCAGGAGCGATTAGTGCAACCTCTACAGTTTTTACAGTAGATAAGAACTCGGCCGTCTTGGGTGTGTACGTCGGCTAAGCCGGTTCTGGGGCCTTTGTCATTTTTCAACCTGACAGCGTCCCTAAGACAATTCGTGGGGTCACAAGTTCATTCAAGAGAGAATTTCAAAAACCGCTTTCAAAATGAATTTTGCCTTTAACAGGCTTCTACAACCAGGTTAGAGGATCTCGAGAGAGTCGTGTCAAAGCAGCAAAAATGAATGGTATCTAGCTTTCGTCAAAATGTAGAAATTCTCAGCGCTTCAACAACAAGAAATACCCTAAGTTGAAGGCCACTCAGTGAAAAATCCAGCTGAACGTGGCAACCCTAACTTACGGATATTCCCTACACCTCTCCCATTCGACTAATTGTAAGATATTTTTCAACTGCTTGCACCAGCATGCCTTCAAAACCACAAATAGTATATGAAAAACCTGTGCCATAGTATTACTATCCATCATTTAGCCAGCATAAGGAACCAGCCATCTTAGGGCGGGCTCCCCCCATTTTGAGAGAAATGAGAAGGGCCAATAATCTGAGATACTTATCTTTACAGTTAGGTTAACCCTTTACTCATTACGAAATTTCTGGAGGGGAATGCGTGTGATTAGGCGGGCATTCTTATTCTGACACAAAATCGGGAAACTCAGTGTAAACAATGCAACTCAACTGAATATATGGTATTCTGATACTCATCAGTATGCAGACTGGCCCCCTTGCTTCTGATCATCATAAAAGGGGCCCGACAAAAGTAAACTACTTTAGTGGTGAGTTCACAGGTTCAGGCCTCCGAACGCTCTGTCTCCGAATGAATGTCTCTCTCTCTGTCTCATTTATGTCTATCGAAAATATCAGTCGGGTGGATACGCTTTCCACCCGCAAACCTTTGGAATAGAGAACAACCCCTTCTCAGGCATTGATTCATCAGATAATTAAAGAATTTATGACCTACAGAAGCGATTTCTTCAGGGTCCCCTCCATTCGAAGCAGCAACGACCGCAGATGACTGAAATACGATGGTGAGTAAAAGAAGGAAAAGTAAGAGGATACAACCCCTTCTCAGGCATTGATTCATCAGATAATTAAAGAGTTTAAGACCTACAGAAGCTATTTCTTCAGGATCCCCTCCATTTGAAGCAGCACCGACCGCAGATGACTGAAATACGATGGTGAGTAAAAGAAGTAAGAGGAAGAGGGTACAACCCCTTCTCAGGCATTGTTTCACCAGATAATTAAAGAATTTGTGACCTACAGGAGCTATTTCTTCAGGGTCCCCTCCATTCGAAGCAGCAGCGACCGCAGATGACTGAAATACGATGGTGAGTAAAAGAAGGAAGAGTTAATTTTGAGCAATAAAAATAGGAAAATAAAACTACATCGGACCGATAGATAAGCCGATAGTAGATTTTTTCCAACAATCTTTATTTATATGATTCGTTTGATTCGAAGTGTGACTTTTGCTTCGAAGGTGTATTTGTTTGTGTTTTTGACCAGAGATTCATTATGCCTTCTTCTCTACCTGAAGCGTTTATACTCAGAAGGGAATAGGCGGTAGGGCGAAAACACTGACGATGACAGCAAATGATAGCAACTGAGAAGAACTGATAGAAGTCCTGAAAACAAGGGCCACTGAAACAGTCACACATTACGCATCAGCCTCGGAGCGTTGGCGTTTCTGTGAGTGGTTTTGGTGGCCGTATTGCAGGACGTTTGGTGGTAGAAAGTTTGAAAGCAACAGATAACGGCTGAGAAGGGAGCATGGAATGAAAGAGTCACTGGCTTTATTACGTCCTTTATATTACCAGTGAAACCTTACCACATTTATGGGAGATGTTGGGTGTGTGAATCATAGATGATTAGGAATTGATAATAACTGATAATGGATGATGAGGAGGTATAGAAGTAAGGTCGCTAGGTTTGTAAAATCCTTCTACAAACACGTTTCCCCAACATTTTTGTGTTGTTTCTTCGATGATGAGTTTTTTTGCGTATCTATGTGCCAAGACGATTTCACTTTCTAAATTCAAAATAAAGGAGCGTCACAGAAACAATGTGTTAACCCCCTAACGTTTCGACGTAATTGTCGTCTTTAGAGACCAGGCTCAACCGTTAAAGCGATAGAATCCGCTGTTGCCTCAGGCGACTGACAGTATCAAATTGAAATCCTTGAGTGGTGATCCCCTTTGAAGGTGGGGACTGCTCAGAAGACGACGATTACGTCGAGACGCTGACCGCTAATTTGATGAAGTGTTTCACAAGTTGGAAACTAATAAGCAGAAACTTTTTTCATATAAATGTGGTGATGGCAAATGTTAGCCGAAACAAAGCGCTAACTTCAATTAGGGCAAAAAAACGGTATTAATAGCTTCTATTCGAGAGAAAGCATGTCTTGCAAAAGCTATCACTATGGCAGGGAGCAAATCCACAGTTTGTCTGAAAAGTGCACTACCACTGCGCCATAGCGACCTTTAAAGCTTTTGCGGGTGACTGCTCATTCCAATTAATATAATTCTGCTCTCTCCATGCATTGAGCAAGCAAACTTAGAGGTTCATCATAATTTTTTTGGCAGGCTCATTCAGCAGTTTCGAACTCATCGACATACCTAGCTCACTTTTCAAAAATCCATGGAAAGTTGAAAATCTTCCCTGTTAAGATAAGCCAACTTCTCGAGAGAATGATAAAACAAAGAAAATCACAAGCCTGGTCAATCTCCTTGTCTGCTATTGGAGTAGACTGAGCCACCACATCATCAGCTATTATTGGTGTCAAATTCAACCCTTAAGCAAAAGCAAATAACAGTCTTACTTTAAAATTACATAAGCATGTGGACCAAAATGTTACTATTAGGTGTGTGCATTAATTTAAACCGTTTTTTTGCGTGCAATAACATATTTATTACAAAATTAAAACCAAATGTACATTAACCAATGTATTGCCCATCGTTAGCTACAACTTCTTTCCATCTTTCTGGTATCTTGTTGACTCCGGGTCTAAAAAGTCTTCATCTTTTCAGGCAATCCAGTCATCCACCCATTTTCGCACTTCATCGGCATTCCGGAAGCGTGTGTCTGCTAACTGACTTGCATGGACCGTTATAGGTGGTCATCAGAAAGAGCAAGATCCGGAGAGTATGCGGGCTGAATAAGCTGATCCCATCCTGCAATTTTTTTAAAGGACATTCTTCGCAACATGGGGTCTGGCATGTTCGTGGTGGAGCAGCATATCATGATGTTTTCTTGCGAATAACGGCCGCTTTCAGATGAGAGCATCCTACAAACTGACAAGTTGGTGTTCGTAGCGGTCAGCAGTAACAGTTTCGTTCGGGCTAAACAGCTCATAGTACACAACACCCTTTTGATCTCTCCACCAAATGCACAAACAGCATTATTTTTTGACAGTG